ACGGATTGTTCGAGCACTGGTCTCTCAGTCCTTGCTCCCGCGCCTGGTGAAGGCTGAACATGTCTCGCCTGACGAGCCGGTCTCCGATCATGGCTTCGCCATCCGCGTGTCCTTGAAGCTTAAGTCACAGCTGCGGCCTGGTCCGGGGGTCTGGCGCCTTCACCCTTCTCTGCTGGGTAGACCGGGAGCTAAGAAAAAGATCGAGGAAGTGGAGAGTTTGGTCGCGCAAAGTGGTGGAAGCTTTGCATCCCTTGTCTCGCGACTGAACTCCAGCTTGCGGTCGTACGCAAAAGAGGAGAGCAAGAGAGTACGGGCGACCATTTCTCACCTCACCAGAGTAGTGGCTGCTTTACGGCAGGAGTTCATGCGGAATCCGAAAGACCAGTTGTTGAAGGAGCAGCTGAGGAAGCGGGAGCAGCAACTCAAAGAGTAATTTGCGTGTCGGAGAGATAGAATGCATACCATGGCTGGAGTGGAGATGGCGCTGGCGGGGGAAGTTCCATCTCCGCACCTCTCGGCGAGAATTAAGACACGGAAAACCAGAACTCAGATCGCGGAGGTTGCAGTCCCGGGTGGAATGGTTTCGGAACCAAAGCGGATCTTGGAGGTGGCGTCGGAATACTTCCGCGGCCTCTTTGGGGAGGATAAGCGCACGGCACTCTCGGACTGGAGCCCAGCTGCGGGGAAGAAGTTGTGGTGCTCTGATGTGGAAAATCTGCAGGAAGAATGGACGGAGGAGGAGGTTAAGCAGGCGCGGGAAATGGCGAATAACAAAACGCCAGGGAAAGACGGGTTACCGAAGGAGGTATTCGAGCTGCACTGGGAGACACTCGGGAAGCATGTCATGGGCCTGGTACGAGACTTTACCGCCACCTCTTCGCTCCCGACCAGTGTCAAGGATGCGGTGACGATTCTTCTGCACAAGAAAGGAGCAAGGGAGCAGTTAGAGAACTACCGCCCTATCACGCTACTTTACATCAGCTACAAAGTACTGGCGAGGGTCCTGGCGAGCAGAATCAAACGGGTCCTTCATAAAGTCATCTCACCGGAGCAGTTCGGTTTTATTCCTGGGAGGCGTATCTCAGATGTTGTGGGGCTGGTTGCTGACGTCATTGATGCGGCTAAAAATGGGAAGGAGGACTGGTACTTGCTGCTGGTGGAGTTCAAGAAAGCGTTCGACTCGGTGTCCCGTGAGTTCTTCTTCGAAGTAATGGAGAAGATGGGGTTCCTGGCCCGTTACATCAGCTGGGTGAAGGGCCTGCACACGAACACGAGGACGAATCTGTTAATCAACGGCTGGTTGGGTGAAGCGGTGGAAGTGGTCTCGGGGGTGAGGTAAGGTTGCCCCTTAGCACCTTACTTCTTCCTCTGTGCGGTGGAACCGTTGGCGCAGAGGGTGATGAAGAGGAAAATTTGGATCTCCCTCACCAGCTGTATTGGTCAGAGATTGGGATACATCGGCTATGCGGATGACGCGACCCTCCTGCTGCAGGGCAAACAACAGATTAGTAGAGCAGAGGAAGTGCTAGAGGAGTTCAAAAGCATCTCTGGCCTGGAGTCGAACAAAGAGAAATCGGTAGTAATGCCGCTGGGTGCTAACCTGGGGAAGAAGGCTGGGCGCTCGGATGGGTTTCGCTGGGCTGGTGCGGAGGAAGCGGAGCGACTTCTGGGAGTTTGGGTCACGCCGAACGGAAGCTGTCAGCCGACATGGGATAAAGCACTGCAGAAAATCGCCGGGAAGATGTCGCTGTGGCAACCGCAGTACCTCCCAATTAAGGCCCGAACGGCGGTGATGGATGGCTACATACTGCCGATCGCGTGGTCCCAAGCTCAAGTTTACCCGCCGCCGGCGCAAACCTGGGGGGTGATCACTAAGATGACACATAACTTCATGTCAGCGAACAAGGTCACATCAGAAAAGTGTTTTCGCCTCTGGAGCAAGAAGCTCCTGTTCACACCGGTTCTGGAAGGAGGAGTGGGGGCGAAGAACCCGGAGGTGATGCTTACCTGTTTAACCGCCAGGAGGATTGGGCTGATACTCACGGGAATGGATCAGCTGAAGCGGGCGCTGATGCGCCAGGCAGCTGACTTACCACGGGGTCTAGAGACGTTCATGGCACACTAGAAAAATCTGAAAACATGGGAGGGGAAAAGTCAGAGGTGGAAGCTGGCATGCGCGAACTTCATGCGTTCTCCGTTAGCGGCGTCCACGGAGGTTCACGAGACAACGGAGTTGCTGATGGAAAGAATTACGTTTAACAGGCACATCCTCCTGAAAGGAACCACGCCTGTGGGGGGGCAAAAGGCAGCGAAGCGGCTTCTTGACGTACGACTGGGTGAGCTCGTTGGTAGAGATACAGGAGGACGGGGGGTGCTGAAAAGCATTGAAACCATAGAGAGAAAGCTGCGGGGTAGAGACTCAGCAAACCTTGCGCTCAAGTCCTTCGCAGCAGCGCCTGCGGCATGGAGGAACCAGCTCATCTCTGTCGTGCTTCCGAATGTGGGGTTTGCGGAGGCGTATGAGGTGGGGAGAAGGGATCCCCTTCAGCTCCGGACAAAACTGCTGGCGGAAGAGAAAGCGATACCACTACGTGCGCTCAGGAAGCATTGGAAACACGGTGACAGCGGGGAGAACTGGCGGAAGAAGTGGGCGAGTCGTTGGGGTGGCAGCATTGACTGGAAGCGGGTAGTGCGGATTCGGGATTCACTGGTTACCCCGAGTCGTCCGAGGGACGTTCTGCTGCGCATTCACTGCCTCAATTTACAGGTTGCGGAGAGACTGGAGTTTCTCAGCAGTAAACCTGTCTGCCCCCATTGCGGCGAGTTTGAGACTCTGGAACACTGTTTTTTGGAATGCCCAAGAATTCAAGGGGTGGTGTCGGTGGTTAAAAAAGCTCTGAGGATGATCAACCCGTCCAGGAAGGGTGACTCGCTTGGTGATTGGCTGTTTGGAAAGGCGGGGTCCTTATCAGCATTCCCAGAGGCATCGTTGGTGGCGATCGCCCTTCATCAGCTGTGGGCGGAACGGTGTGAAGGTGCCTTAAGGGGCTGCAAGTTCCGCACGCGGAGAGTACTGCGGAGGATTGAGTCGGCTCTCCGCATGTATGTGAATGTTTATGTGCGTGCGTCGGTGGCGAGGATGCAGCAGCATGGGAAGGGTCAGCATGCCAGGTGGCTAAAAATGACGGAACAAAAACGCAACCTTCTGGATCGTATCAGAGTGGTGGATGGCAAAGGCTGGAAATGGATCAACAGATCCGCGGCAATTTGGGGCAAACCACGCAGGCCCCGGATCCATGTTGGAGGATCGAATATTTTGATGCGGGCCTTCCTGTCTCTCATGCACAGTTACGACTGTTTATGTGTTGTACACTTGTCTGTTCCGGTGTATAATTCATATACCAAAAAAAAAAAACAGGCCATGGTGGGTCTAGGAGGGTCTTCACACTTCAGTAGACTCTCCACAAAGTCCTTAATCGGCTCTGATACCACTTGTTACAGACTAAGGATGGAAACTAGGAAGCTTAGAGGCTGAAATATCACAAAATCGCTGGTCACAATTTCTGGACAGAATCGTCGCGCTCACAAGAAACGCCGTCGACAAACAACTCACTGTCAAAACTTCACCAATTTTGGATATGTTGTAGCTCTAGTCCGTGGCTACAATTCCCAAGTTTAATCGTACGAAAAGATGAAGTATTTCTCGACTTATCAATTTTGGCGCACAGGGGGGTATGCTGCCATAGAATCTTAACTCAATCACAAGAGTCTCACAAGTTCACACAAGAGAATTAGAATAGCTAGAAACCAGGTACGAGGGAAGAAGAGGACGAGAGGGAAGGTCCCAAGAGAGTCCCCAACCAAGGAAACCCCATGCCACACAATTTCCCTCCCCATAGGTAACCCAACTTTGACATTTGTCCATTTCCCAACCTCCACAATCCACCTCACCCAAGTTGGCCACACTTGCCAACCCAACTTGGTTTCTCCCAACCACTTAGCAGCATCTACAGTGATAAGGACGAATTTCCCAACCCCCAAAAGTCTATACCCCTTATGGAGTCAACCCCACAACTTCCCATAGTCACCACAACCAAATATCAAAAGCATGCGAACTTCAAATGTTCGTAACTTTCTTGTTCGTGCTCCGATTGAAGCGATACTTGGTTCGACGGAAAGCTCTTGAGCAGAGGAGTCACTTACACGCTCACACTACGCATGCAACGCACGAACATATGATGGGAGGCAGACAGACGTGAATGCAAATGATGGCATCACATAACACCGTCGACCTGGTCATACTTGATAAACTGTGTGCCACTCGAGTCTTGACGACGGGGTCCCCATCTCTTTCGTCAACCGATTCCCAAAGCCAAACATGTTCCTTGTTCACGCCTAGCCTATATCAGCACCTGTTTGTTCATGCGTTAATATATTTCACTTGCGTATTCAGTCCAATGATGCATGAATGTCTCCACATGGGCTCAAGTGCTGCAATCTGTTTGTCATCGCTTCTGAGTGACTCGGCCAGCAATCTCAATGACAACAACTTCCATGGATCAGTCCCGTCTGGCCTCTTCCAATTCCCCATTCTTAACACTCTGTGACTAACTCCATGGCGCTTTTGCTTGGCCCTGCTATTATAGAGATTGCATTACGAAACAGCCTATTGCGCGGTTTGTAAATGAACTCAAAATGTTAGTTGAGATTCGGAAGTGTTGTGTTATTCTAAAACGTCCTCCTGCTGTCAAATACAGAATTATTCCAAAACGTCTTCCTGCTGTTAAATACACAATTAATCCAAAACGTCCTCTTGCTGCCAAATACACAATTACTCCAAAACGTCCTCCTGCTGCCAAATACACAAGCCTGATCCTAACACCAGTTAATTAGCCTGCAAAGGTCCAACTTGTGTGCCTACTACTCGGGTCCTTGCATCTCATCATTCTTCACCTTTGCATTCCCCTTATCAACTTCCAGTGTGGCAGCGGCTCTAGTGCATGCATGCAACCACCACTTCCCTCTGTCCCCCCTTCTGCCCAATGTAGGGAAGTGTCAAACAACTTTCTTTCGGGGAACCTTCCAGTGAAGCTTAGAGCCTCATCCACACTTTCCACGATGTAAGCAGGGCCACGACTGGCTGTGCTGCCACCACTGGCTGTGCTGCCACCACTTGCTGTGCTGCCACCACTGGCTGTGCTGCCACCACTTGCTGTGCTGCCACTGTCATCTTGCTCTCCGTGCTGATCATCCCTGGAGTGGTGTTTGCCCACCGTTCGTTCCACCATGTGCAGTAGCCTTGATGGAAACGGCTTCACAGGCTCCTTGCCAGACTTCTCGCTCTAGAAAGGCATCTTTGAAACGCTGTAAGCTTCTTTCTCTCCCTCTCTACCCCTCCAAATCACCTTCCCCTCCCAACTCTTTCTTCTTCCTGTCTCAATCCCCTCAAATATTCCTGACAATTCTGCTTTCCTCCCTGGTGGCAACTTTCTGATCACTGGCATGTGTCTTGCCTTGCCTCTATCACATCGTTTGGGCTTGTTGGTGCCATGCTCCGTGAGTGAGTGCTGGTCCTCATGCAGGGCGCTGAGCAACAACAACTTCACAGGGCCCATCCCTGACTCCATCTCCACGCTCTCCACTCTGCAGGCCATGTGAGCCTCGTGTGCTGTTGCCCCCTCACCACATGCCCTGGACCACATGCCCTGCACCACATGCCCCTCACCACATGCCCCACCTGCATCTGAGGAGTGTCTTCTTCTCACCCAGAACAGATCAAGGACAGAGCTGGCCTAGGCTAGCACCTAGCAGCACCTGGTGCTTCATGCGCTCTGCCCTTGCCATACCTCATGCGCTCTGCCCTTGCCATACCTCATGCGCTCTGCCCTTGCCATACGTTATGCGCTCTGCCCTTGCCATACCTCATGCTCTCTGCCCTTGCCATACCTCATGCGCTCTGCCCTTGCCATTCCTCATGCGCTCTGCCCTTGCCATACCTCATGCGCTCTGCCCTTGCCATACCTCATGCGCTCTGCCCTTGCCATACCTCATGCGCTCTGCCCTTGCCATACCTCATGCGCTCTGCCCTTGCCATACCTCATGCGCTCTGCCCTTGCCATACCTCATGCGCTCTGCCCTTGCCATACCTCATGCGCTCTGCCCTTGCCATACCTCATGCGCTCAGCCCTTGCCATACCCCATGCGCTTTGCCCTTGCCATACCTCATGCGGTCTGCCCTTGCCATACGTCATGCGCTCTGCCCTTGCCACACCTCATGCGCTCTGCCCTTGCCATACCCCATGCGCTCTGCCCTTGCCATACCCCATGCGCTCTGCCCTTGCCATACCTCATGCGCTCTGCCCTTGCCATACCTCATGCGCTCTGCCCTTGCTATACCTCATGCGCTTCATGCGCTCTGCCCTTGCCATAGCTCATGCGCTCTGCCCCTTGCCATACCTCACGCGCTTTGCCCTTGCCATACGTCATGCACTCTGCCCTTGCCATACCTCATGCGCTCTGCCCTTGCCATACCTCATGCGCTCTGCCCTTGCCATACCTCATGCGCTCTGCCCTTGCTATACCTCATGCGCTTCATGCGCTCTGCCCTTGCCATAGCTCATGCGCTCTGCCCCTTGCCATACCTCATGCGCTCTGCCCTTGCCATACCTCATGCGCTCTGCCCTTGCTATACCTCATGCGCTTCATGCGCTCTGCCCTTGCCATAGCTCATGCGCTCTGCCCCTTGCCATACCTCACGCGCTTTGCCCTTGCCATACGTCATGCACTCTGCCCTTGCCATACCTCATGCGCTCTGCCCTTGCCATACCTCATGCGCTCTGCCCTTGCCATACCTCATGCGCTCTGCCCTTGCTATACCTCATGCGCTTCATGCGCTCTGCCCTTGCCATAGCTCATGCGCTCTGCCCCTTGCCATACCTCACGCGCTTCGCCCTTGCCATACGTCATGCACTCTGCCCTTGCCATACCTCATGCGCTCTGCCCTTGCCATACCTCATGCGCTCTGCCCTTGCCATACCTCATGCGCTCTGCCCTTGCCATACCTCATGCGCTCTGCCCTTGCCATACCTCATGCGCTCTGCCCTTGCCATACCCCATGCGCTTTGCCCTTGCCATACCTCATGCGGTCTGCCCTTGCCATACGTCATGCGCTCTGCCCTTGCCATACCTCATGCGCTCTGCCCTTGCCATACCCCATGCGCTCTGCCCTTGCCATACCCCATGCGCGCTGCCCTTGCCATACCTCATGCGCTCTGCCCTTGCCATACCTCATGCACTCTGCCCTTGCTATACCTCATGCGCTTCATGCGCTCTGCCCTTGCCATAGCTCATGCGCTCTGCCCCTTGCCATACCTCACGCGCTTTGCCCTTGCCATACGTCATGCACTCTGCCCTTGCCATACCTCATGCGCTCTGCCCTTGCCATACCTCATGCGCTCTGCCCTTGCCATACCTCATGCGCTCTGCCCTTGCCATACCTCATGCGCTCTGCCCTTGCCATACCTCATGCGCTCTGCCCTTGCCATACCTCATACGCTCTGCCCTTGCCGTACCTCATACGCTCTGCCCTTGCCGTACCTCATACGCTCTGCCCTTGCCGTACCTCATGCGCTGTGCCCTTGCCGTACCTCGGCAGCATCCTCGATAGCAACCAACTGACGGGAACCATTCCAACTGCCATCTTCAACATGACGAACCTACAATCTCTGTGAGTCTTAACTGCCCATGTAGTGATGGATTGTGGGTTGTAGAACGAACCTTTGCACCTCACTTCCCTTCTACTATGGCGACGCTGCTTTCCTGTGTCAACATGCACTGTTCTCCCATATGCTGCGCTTGCTCGCAGCTGTCGCTTCCAGTCTCCTCTCTATGCGCCCCTCCATACCCACTTCCATACTCCCATCCGTTCTCTCCAGCTACTTGGCCAACAACCGTCTCAGCGGCAGTCTGCCGTCTGCCATCAGTCGCTTGGAGAAGCTGCAACAGATGTGAGGGCCCTTCCTGCCTGCCCCCCCTGGCTGCGCTCCCTGCCTGCCCTCACTTACTGCCCACTCAAGCAGTGAAGGGGAGCTTGTTGCGCAGCAGGGGAGGCAAGGGGATGTGCATGGCAGCGAAGTGAACCATTGGGGCAAGGGCGCGGGGCGGCTTGACGTTTTCTCAGTCTCGGGGTTCTTTTCTACCTTGAATTTTCTCTGAAACGGTCCTTGTCCCCCGCTCCCCCCATCTGCACACTCCTGCGTCGAGTTGAGCAGTTCACTTGTTTTCTGGATCTCCATTCTCCTTCTGCGTGCCAAGCGGTCCGCCCTGCCGAACCCACCCATGTTGTGTGCCTTCTGCCGAGCCCCACTGCACTCTGCTCCTCTCATGCCCCTGCTTCTGCCCCTGATTTTCCCCTGCTACTGCCCTTGCTTCTGCCCCTGCTTTTCTCCCTGCTACTGCCCCTGCTTCTGCCCCTGTTTTTTTCCCCTTCTCCCCTGTTTTTTACCCCTGCTTCTACCCCTGCTTCTGCCCCCGCCTGCCCCCCCAGCTGGCTGGACAACAACAGCATCGAGGGCCCTCTGCCATCCGCCATTTGCTCGCTGCCCTGGCTGTGGCGCATGTGAGTGGCTGTGGCGCATGTGAGTGGCTGTGGCGCATGTGAGTGGGTGTGGTGCATGTGAGTGGGTGTGGTGATAATAATGGAGCTCAACTGATTGATTAGGAAAGAAGGCACTAGGCCTTAAGTACAAACGAGGTTGGGATGGGCAAGGCTAGGGAAAGGATGGGATGGGAATCCTAGCAAATCTCCAATTGGTGAGTTGGCAGATTTGCAGGATTACGAGGGAATCCCAACCAGATAGGGTTGGGATCACAAACTACACCCAACCCGCAAATAACCTACGCGATATAGAATATAGTACACAAAGTGTTGACAGCCTAATTCTAACACACCCCCTAGGCTACAACACATCAGCCACAAGGAGGCCCAACACCCATGGCCGAGAGGAGGCGGTAATGATCCTCGCGAACAAGCGACTTGGTAAACAAGTCAGCAAGGTTGCAGTCGGAGGCAATGTGTTCAGCCTTCAGCTGCTCGCGCTGCACCAGCTCACGAAGAAAGTAGTGACGGACTTCAATGTGCTTGGTGCGGCCATGGAAAACGGGGTCTTTGGTGAGATGAATGGTGCTCTCGTTGTCACACCAAAGCGTTGGGGTTGGTTGGGGATACCCCAGTTCTGTCAGCAGGAAGGAGAGCCAACGAGCCTCCTGTGCAGCCATGGTCCCGGCATACAGCTCTGCCTCACAGGTCGACGGTGAGATGGAGGACGACCGAGTGGAGCGCCAACTTACAACCCCACTGCCAAGGGTAAAGCAATACCCTTGGGACGAGCGCCGATCACTCTGGTCATCAGCATAGGATGAGTCACTGTACCCCTCAAGGCGAACAGGGGAAGTGCCGCCAAGTGTGAGCACATAATCCAGTGTGCCTTTGAGATAGCGAAGAACCCGCTTGGCGGCAGACCAGTGGTGGCGAGTGAAGCGACCAGGTGCAACGTAGCGGGACAGTACACTGACTGGATAGGCTATGTCTGGTCGAGTGCACATCATCGCGTACATGAGGGATCCCACGAGCTCGGGGTAAGGCTCGTCACAGGGCTCAGGTGAGGGAACGGAGGGTGCAGTGAGTTGGTGTTGCAGAGAGAGTGGGGTGGGCATTGATGCTGCTTCCTGCATCTGGAACCTCGTCAGAACGTTGTTGATGTAAAACTTCTGCGAAAGGGTGATGGTGCGGGCTGTGCGATCACGTGTGATTTCCATTCCCAAATAGTTCGTCAGCTTCCCAAGGTCCTTCATGGCCAGCTTCTCACCAAGTGCGGTTTTGACTGCTGCCAGCTCAGTCTGATCCTTGGTGACAAGGATCATGTCATCGACATAAACCAGGATGAAGAACCGGGAGGGTGTTGCTCGGATGAAGAGGCTGGGGTCAGAGGTGGATGGGTGAAAGTCGAGGGACCCTAAGGTGCTCTTTAGCTTGTTGTGCCATTCCCGGGGAGCTTGCTTGAGGCCATACACTGGCCGATTCAGCTTCCATACAGTGCCTGGTGGAAAAGGAGCTGGAAATCCTTCGGGCCGCTCCATATAGATTTCCTCTCGAAGGATCCCTTGCAGGAACGCAGAAGACACATCCATGCAGTCAACCTCCATGTCATCTCGAGCAGCGACATCGAGAAGGGTGCGCAGTGTGGGAGGTTTGGCGGTGGGAGAGAATGTCTCAAAGATGTCCAGTCCACGCTTTTGGGTAAATCCCTTGGCACGGTACCGGGCTTTGAAGACAGGAAATTCGCCTGGAAGTTGTTTCACCCGAAAGACCCATTTTCCCTTCACAATGTTGACGCCGGAGGGAGGAGAGACGTCTGTGAAAGTTCCTGTGTGAATGAAGGCCTCACATTCTGCGACAATGGCCCCCAACCACTGAGCGGCGTGAGGACCAGAGACTGCTTCAGCATAGGTGAGAGGTGTGGGGATGGAGGGGTTGTCGGAGAAATTGAGGGTTGGAGAGTCTGCGATGTCTGGAAAGAGGAAGCAGAGTGCGTGGATGGCTGAGTCGATATCAATCAACTCCTCATATCTGTCTTCAAGGAGGGATGGCATGAGAGAATAATCACCCCCGACAAGAGGAGGATTGAGAGAGACGCGAACGGAAAGGGAGAACGGTTGTGGAGGTGTGCGAGAGCGGGTGCGAGAGCGGGTGCGAGAAGCGATGGGTGAGGGAGGCGGGGCCGGAGTAGGCGTAGCGGAAGGGGAGGTGGGAGTGGGAGGGAGAGTGGAGACAGGATCGGGATCAGGGGTGGGAGCAGGAGGAGGAGGAGGGGGAGGAGGAGGAGGAGGAGCTGGGTGACGGCGTTGGTAGGTTTTGAGAGGAACGGGCTCGGTAGGAGGAGATGCGAGAGGAGATGGAGGAGGGGTAGCGGAGGAGGGAGGGAGCGAGGGAGACTGTGTGGTACTGGAGGGGGAAGCGGGTGATGGGGGATCAGAAATGGTGGAGGGAGCGGGAAGAGGAGGAGATGGAGTGTCGGAAAGAGGGAGACTGTCAAAGTCAGCCCAAGTAAGAGAGGGAGGCGGAGGAGAGGGGGAAGCCTTGGAGGAGGGGTAGAATGGGTGGGACTCATCAAAGTAAACGTCCCGGCTGCGATAGAGCTTGTTGGTGGAAGGATGGAGGAAGAGATAGTCCGGCGAATCTAAGTTGTGCCCGAGGTATACGCACGTGATCGTTTTGGGAGCAAGTTTGCCGCCAGCCGCACGACGGGCTTGGGAGTTGAGGAGGACATAGGAAGTGCACCCCCATACACGAAGAGGGCGGACGGATGGCTTTTGACCCGTCCATAGCTCAGCGGGGGTGGTGTGGGTGTGATGAGGATGGGGATGGAGATTGTGGAGGGCGGCAGCATGAAGCATGGCGTACCCCCAGAGAGAGGGAGGGGCGGAGGCGTGCGTGAGGAGGCAGCGAGCAATCTGCACCAATGTACGGTTCCGGCTTTCGGCAATACCGTTCTGTTGGGGACTGTCCGGGAGAGTGAAGGTCTGACGGATACCCTCAGTGGAGCAGAAAGCTTTGAGAGTGTTGTTGCGGAATTCACCGCCACCGTCAGAGTGAAGGACCTTGATGGTGGTTTTGAAATGTTTGTGAGCCTGCTTCGCCCATTCAATGATGACGCCTGGGGCTTCGGATTTGGAGGAGAGAAGGTGGACAGACACATAGCGGGAATAGTCATCAATGATGACAAGGAAGTAAAAGTGTCCACCGCGAGAGCGAACAGGAGCTGGGCCCCAAAGGTCCATGTGCACGCGATCGAGAGGTGCAGCGGAGATGGACTCAGTGGGGGGATGGGGCTGTTCACGAAGCTTGCTCTGTGCACAGTCAAGGCAAGGCGGCCCTAGGGTGGAGGTAGGAGAGGGAAGTGAGGTTGGAAGCCCGTGGAGGAGTTGTTTTGTGGCAAGGTTTGAAAGCGCGCGAAAGTTGATGTGGCCAAGGCGGTGATGAAAGAGCATGGTTTTGTCGGAAAGGAGGCGGCAGTGACAGGTGGAGGAGTCAAGGGAAGGTAACGGGAGGTTTGTGAGGGAGCACGTTTGAATGGGAGGTACTACGAGCGTGTATAGGTTGTTGGAGTTGAGAGTGAAGCGGGCTAGATGAATGCCGGTTTTGGCGTCAAAGAGGTCACAGTAGTCGACATCATTGGGAAAGATGGTGATCACTCCTGCTTGTTGGATTTCACTTTGTGCCAGGAGGTTGTGGCGGAGGGTGGGGGCACAGATGCCAGTGACTGTGCCCGATGGAAATGCTGGACAAGGAACTGTGGAGGACCCATGGCATTGGATGGAGAAGCTAGAGTCGGCTCCGAGGAGTGGGATGGGAGCCTGGTAAGGAACGAACGCGGTTTGGTCTTTGAGCACTGTGTGGGTGGCACCACTGTCTAGTATGAACTCGATCCCTTGTGTGTTTGAAACACCGATGTACTGCGACCCCTTCTCATTAATAAGACCAGCACCAGAGAACAACAGGTTGAGGCGAACATCAGATGGGGTGCTATCAACTGAGGGACTAGGTTCCTCCACTGCCTCGACATGGTTCACGCGACGGGGTGGGGCTCAGTTGGGAGGGCGCTTGTTGGTGGAGACACCATGGACGTCGTACCACTCATCATCTCGCTTCTTGAAGCAAGTTGCCTCAGGATGGTTGGTGCCTCCGCATTTCTGCCCCGCACGTGGGCCTTTCCTAATGATGTAGGGGCATGGGGGAAAGGAGTTGCGCCTTGGTCCCTATTGGGAGCGGAATGGGATTCCAGGGGTGTAGCGCACAGCATTGACGGATGGGCTGCAAGGTCCTTTTCGGCGGAAAGGAGAGCCGATGCGACTTTTCCGAAGGTGAGTTCCTTGGTGGGAAGTTGCTTGAGCATGGAGCTGGTGACATTGTAGGCCGGGGTCAGTCCTACAAGTAGGCCAGCTGCAGGTGCCTGTTCGGGGAAAATGATCCCAATGTCCTTGAGTTCCTCATGGATGTTGCGGATTTCAGAGATGTAATCTGCCATGCCAGGGCATTCCTCAAGGCGGACCTGGAACATTCGAGGGATGAGGATGGCAACACCCACTGCTGTCTTGTCATGGAAACGGTCCTGGAGGTACTTCCAAATCGCATGAGCGGAGCGAAAGGTGCGGTAGGATTTGACGAGCTCAACCGGAGTGGTGGTGATGAAAACCCTAATAATTGCTGCATCTGCCTGCTCCCACACACTGAAATCAGTCTCGTACTTGGTGGTCTGAGCGTCAAAAGCGGCCTTCTCTGCGGCAGTGGCGCCTTCGCCAAGGGGATCGGGAGGGAGAGGCATCTTTCCCTTGCCGCGGTTGAGGAGGATGTCCTTGAGGCAAATCCCCTTCAGTTCCGTGCTAAGGAGGTGCTTCTCCACCCCATAGCACCATTCCCCAAAGTTGGTGCTCGTGCCGTTGGGAGCGAGGTTGAGAACGATGAGGTTTCCGACTAGGGTAGAAGTTGAAGTCGCCATTCGTGCGGAGCGCAGCGCTAAAGTCAACGATACGAAGCGGAGCGACTGCGCGCAGCGCGGCGATT